TCTAGAAATGTATACCTTGATTAAACATATGTATCTTTTGGTAATAGTAAGGCATCATTCTGTGTGTATGTATACATGTGTGTCTGTGTGCACATACATGCATACACACAGACACACATGCATGTATATATAATATAGTAGTATATAATATAGTATATATAATATAGTAGTTTCAATGACTTGAACTACTTTTATGAAATACTTTTTACCTTTAATTCGTGCATATAATTGAAAAATCTATCGACAATGAAATGAATTTCCATTTGTGCTATATTATTTTTATAGGATTTCTGAGTTCCAGAATGGATAGATTTTTTTTTTTTTTACTACCTAATATCAGCTATGACAACTACAGGTCTAGATGTATAATTGGGTTTTATGTCCATTTTTACCAGTGTCTATAACTTAAATAATTTTTGTGTGATTTCCTCACTCTTGCCTTACCCATCTGACTTGAATCTTAAACTCTATATCTATGATATTCTGCATTTCTTTACACTATAATCCATATGTATGTAACTCTCTTCATAATGTACATTTTGAATTTAAATTTTATGTCTACTTCAAAATTAATTTTAGCTAAATATTGCTTTTGTGAATTTAGGGCGATGTTTGTAATTTAGGTTCATTTTATCATGCTATATTTTGTATTCCATTTTATGAAGAGTGTACAATTTTATTATTCTGTCTCCTATGGATTGATATATAGATCATTTTCTGTACCTTCTATGCCATGAGTATCCCTGTGTAAGAGTTTATTCTCACTGAAAGAGTCTGTTCTCATTGTAACAGTAACAGTTTATACTGTTCTCATAGTAACATTATTTTTATTGTAAAATTACTTTCCATACAGCAATTTACATACTCATCAAGTTATGTTTTTAGAGACAGTTCCCTGATCGCTTGCCTTTTGCATATCATGCTTTCAGAGACACTGTGTTTTATTCTAGTCTGTCTTTCCAAGGTCATTTGCATTGCAAACATCTTTAGTATATAAAGCTAGTGTCTCCTTCTGGAGCAGAGAGAAGATCTGATTAATGTCCAGTATAATAAATATAAAGTCTCCCTTATGGGTAGTGATCAAATCTGTTTGGTTACTGTCAATTATAAAACCCTTAGATGTTAAGCTCAGGGTCTTAAGTTCAGGATCTCTGGCAGGTGCAAAATCCCGAGTGCCCTGATCACCTCTGTGGGACTTAGAAGAGGAGAACCAATGCAAACTCAAAGCATATATTACCTGCTGTGTCCTTTTCTTTGACCCAGTATTCTCTGAGCTTCTCATAAGATACAGGCACTCTGTTAGCTTATATGTAAATAGACCCTTACCCATTGAATCCCACACTGGTTGTCATATATAAAAACTTTCATTATTTTGTTTACGTGATGGTAGGGGAAAGTTTTGTGGGTTTAATTTCCATTTCCTGGATATATGCTGAAGCTGAATTTCTTCTTCAATTATTAATTTAGTTTTCCTCATATGAAATCTGGTTTTATTTTGATGTTGAATTCTCTTTCTGATTTTGTTGTACAAATTTTAAGGTGTGGAATCCTGCATTTCTATATCATTTGCAGTCTTGTAATTTGATGTTATCATAATAAAAGGAATAACATAATAGTTAGTGGTTTTAATACTTCTTCAGTTATATGTGGAATAATCCAGTTGCTATATTCTAATGTCTTCTTCACTTCTTTGATTATTTCCCTGTTTAAAAGTAACCACAGTGAAAATAAATAATTATACAAATATTTACATTTTAATGTTAATTCCAAATTTAAGATTGGCAAATTTATAAATCATTTCCTTTTCTAATTATGTTTTTCTGTTCTATTTAATAATAAATAGGCCATCAGAATTCTTTTTTTTTCCTGAATGATTTAAGTCTTTCCTTTTAGTTATTTGATCATGCTGAGTATGACATTTCTATGTAATTAATGAGAAAGGGATCAAATTCATGTTTCTCTATATATACATAAGTTATTGAACTTATCTTCTCCTGCTTCCTATGTAAACAACCCTGCAAATATATGTAGTTTCTATTCTATTTGGTTTGTTTGTTTAGTCTTGTGCTAATAGCACATATATAGAATTTTCATCTCTTTTAATCTTCATATATAGCAGGCAAGATATTTGATTATGACTAACCTATGTTCAGAAAACAGACAAATGCATAAACATAATGAATATTGTTATCTACATATAGAGCATGTGTATACAGTTATGTAGAAACTGTGTATGTGTTTGTATGTAAGTATTTGGTAAAAATATAAAGAAAATGGAAATTCAAAGTAATATTAAGTATCCTGCACACATTGCTTTTCTTTCAGCTATTCACCAACCCAATAAACTTGTACTTTGAATCTTAGTTTCTTAGTGGTGAGTCAAACAAGATGAAAACCCAAAACCTGTTCAAGAAAGGATTCATCTCCACTTTAACCTGTAACATGAAAGGGTTTCATAATCAAAGTGGAAGTTGAACATAATGTTGATATCCTTAATAACATATCAGAAACAAGGTTACATCTGTAAAAGAATATATCATTGTCCTAGGTCCCAAAGGACCCAAGTAGTGTTGTTAGCCACATGAGCACTAACACACAGATGAAAATAACCAAGTAGAGGTAGCAGAAAAGTGCCATGAAAAGATTACCATCGACTTGTAAAATAAAAATTATCAGACCTATAAGACAGTTACAATAATTTTCAAGTGTAAAAGGAGACTAAAAATATAGAAAATAAAAGGATATTATAAAAGAGACACAACAGATTTTCTTATATGCTTTTCTTTTGAAGTGTTTTTATTTAGATTTATAGTACTATTGAACAGACACTATAATAATCAGTTTGTCAATATCACTCTATAACTTTGAGATTTTAATTGGGATTTCATTGAATGTATACATAAAATTGGAAAGAAACAACACCTTGACAACATTGGGCTTTCCTATTTATGAACATGAAATATCTTATTTAGATCTTTGATTTCTTTCATCGAAGTTTTGGAGCCTTCCTCATACAGATATTGTACACTTTTTTAAAAGATTTTTATCAATTCCAATTTTGGGGTGATATTGTAAATTCCTCCTATCTATTGCTGATCTATAGGAAAGAGGTTTACTTCTTTGTAAATCCCCCTTATATACTGTAAATTTGTTGTAATTACTTACTAGCTCCAGGAAGTTGTTTTATTGATTTTGGTTTGGGTTTGGGGGATTGCTTTGGATCTTCTACATGGATGCTAATATCATGTAGGAATAGGCAGTTCGGTTTCTTCCTTTTCAGTGTGTCTTCTCTTTATTTCTTGGGAGCATTAACTTGTCTTGGAGTATTAACTAAGATTTCCAGTACCATGCTGAAAAACAGTGATGAGGGAGAGTCTTCACTTGTCCTGGCTTTAATGAAAAACATTCATGTTTCTTTCAATTAAATATGATCTTAAAGTTGTCGATTTTGTCAAAATTGTTTATCAATTTGGGAAAGCTAAACATTGGACTGATTGACTTTAAAATAAGTATAAATTCTAGTATAAAAAAAAAAAGACTGTAACCCAAATTAAAACTATAAAGGGAAAGGTGCAATGACAGAATACAAAGAACTGGAAAGGAAAAAAAGACAACAAAGAATTTATTATTATCCGTTCATACCTTTAAGACAATTCAACATACTTTGTTCTTCAGTTGTTTTTTTTTTCTTTTTTTTCACTATGTTTAGCTCTTTGATACTCTGTGCTGTATGACTTTATTGGGTCTTACCAGAATATTCACATTCACATCTGTTCCCCAGATTAAGGATAAATAGGTGGTCATTGTTGTCAAATATTTTTCTGTCTAGCAGGAATATATTTTTCTCTTTTACTAGCCAATTATATTATCAAAATAACATATATAATACACATGTGTTCATAAACTTAAATAGTTCTTAACATTCTTGAATGAGAACCAAACAGGACTTAACATGACCTTTATCATTGTTAGTACTTGATGGACTTATTTTCTCTACCTGTGATTTTCCTTTCTTGTGCCTTCCTTGGAGCTTTTCGTTTGAGTTAAAGAAAAGTAGATGGGGAGCTAGTTTTTCTTCTTTTCAAAATCTCTGGAAAATTGTATGTAGGGCTCGAATTATTTACCTCCATAACATTTTGTGTAACTCACTTTTAAAGAAGGCTGAGCATTGTTGTACTCAACTGTAAAAGAAATCCACACTGTGGGGAGTAATTGAAACCCACACTCAGTTGTTTTCAATCCTGATTTCATCTTCACTGTTTCACTCATGCCACTGATTTCAAAATCATCATCTTTCCAAATCCAGTAGTAAATTCCATGCTCTCACCTTACTTTAACTTTGCAGCAGTATCTACCTTTCTTATAGAGATCTCTTGATTACCTACTAACTTCCTCTCATCAAGCTCCCCACCTAAATCTTCCCTGTCTGTTTTGTCATTTAAATTTTGTCTTTATTGCATATATGATTACTTGAAATACTTTATTATTACATGCTTGTTTTATTGTTTTGTGAGTCACTCTGCTATAACTAAGGAGCTAAGTATTTTGTCTTCTTGTCTCATATACTATATCCTTACACCTGTTATGTGTGCAGTAAATATGTTTATTGATATAATAAAAAAGTTGTAAGTAGACAAAATTCTATACATTAAAAATGTTACATATACCACATATGTAAGAAATGTTTAAATTTACATCTCTCCTGTCTTCCAGATCAGTAACTACTGTTTTAGGACTTTGACTCTTAATATTGGATGACATACTAAACCTGTTTACTTAGCCCAACTATTCTGTGATAATTTGGCAATTATTTGCCAACATTTGTATGGGAACATTTGCAAAATTTGTTGATTATTATAGAAATTTGAACTTCAATAAAATATGTTAATACGATTTACTCTCATTTCCTAAAATTTCAGAATTGCTTCTCATTTTGTTAAAATATAATAGGTAACTAAATAAAATACTAGGAACATTATTATACAATCTTTTAATTTCAGGCTGGACAGCAACGTTGGTGGGAACAGGAGATTAAAATAAATGGAAATATCCAAAAGGGAGAATTAATTACCTATAACTTGACTGAGCTAATCAAACCCGAAGCTTATGAAGTCCGCCTAACTCCCCTCACCAAATTTGGTGAAGGAGATTCAACAATTCGAGTCATCAAATACAGTGGTAAGTCACTTATTTAAAAGTATTTCTATATCAAGCTATCTAGAATATGTAGATTACAACTCCTAAATTTTGACACAAATTACATTTTTATATGTTTATTTTTGAGTCATCATTTAAATGACCAAAACCCCCACAAAACTTAATCATCCTCAACTGCTATCTCTGCTCAGTCATTAGTTTTACTGTTAAAATAACTAGTTTAAAGGTTGCCCTGCTCTCAGTTTTGATTTCTGACTTTTGTTTAGCAACAGGTAAGGTTTGAAAGGTCAGCAACACCATTCCTGAAAACATGAACAAATCCAAAATGCTGTTTAGCATTGATCTTTTGGGAACTTTAAGGCTGTCATTGCTGACCTCCAAATTAGCTCCTATTTAATCCTCTAGAATAAAATGGATAGCAGATATAATTCTCCTTGGCTTTAGTGGGGGAAGATCATTAACTTTTGGTCAGGAACTATGGGGCACTGATTACACTTTTACTTATAAAAGACATTCAAATCGTGCTAATATTATATTTTGCTTTTCTTGTAGCTCCTGTTAATCCTCATTTGAGTAAGTATATATTTTCTACTTTAAAATAGCACTGAATTTCACAATTTAGAAAATGTGTTAATAAAGATTATGTAGCAGCTGTTTTTATCTAGCTAAAAATGGAATAGTTTATAAACATTCAAATTGGCATAAAATATAAATTAAAATTTAAAGGACATATGCATAGGCATTATTTAATATTATTATAAGTTTTCCTAAATATGGAGTCATTTCCATCCTTGTTTGTATAGCTGTGTAGTTATTTTTTTTCTCTTTTGTGGCATTGCATAGTATTTATATTACTGTTGTCTGTTTACTTAATATTCATTCTTTGTTTTCTACATTCCACTTCTAAAAACCATAGTTGCTTAGGATGTTGTATTCAGATCGTTTAATCACAATTTTCATGGATTACTATTCAATGTCAAAATCTTAAATGATAGAAAATTATTGCCATTTCTTGATATTTCATATTGAAATTCAGGAGTGATTTTTGTTTCCATTCATTACCTAGGAATATATGGTCCATGCATTGCAAAACAACAAAGTGCTTTGCCTCTTACTCCTATACATCCAATATATACATTGGTTATATATTTAACAGTGACCAAACTACATAAACTCAGTTCTTGCTCTATTTCCTACAGAATAGCCTTCCTTACTCCACTAAGGCATATCTGAATTATAGTATCAGATATTTGTGTAGTTCATCATGGAATTCCATTTAGTCATCACACTGATACTTTGAGCTTCACTTTTCTAAAAGGTTTAAAACAAATGCTGCCACTTCTCCTAAGCAATTTGTCTTTTTGTCTCCCATAACAATTTATCTTCATCTATTAGTATTTTTTGTTTTCTCACATCCTTCAGTAGATTATAAAATACTGAAGAGCTATTCCTGTTCCTACTTTCTCTCTATAGCTCATTACCTTTATGTCTACCATAGTATCACAGTTTATCATATATTCAATGATCATTTGTAAGAGAATAAAAACATGACAATTTCCCTATGCATTAATTAAGTTCTCCATGACTTCAACTGAGGGCTCCAGTGCTGTTTAATTACTATTATCGATTGCAAGTCTTTAGATATCTTTTCTCTGACTGCTCTTCCTGTAGATTTTAAAAAGAGTCGCCATGGGAAAATTTAAGTATTTTAAAGAAGAGATCCTAACCTCTAAAATTATAATATTGTAAACCAATGTTCCCTCAAAAAAAAAAAGTAAAAGAAAAGGAAATAATTTTTAAAAATCAATCAAGTACAGAAAAAGTTGACAAACATTTCATTCACTTTGTTAATAAATATGATATGAAATTATATTTTGGAAACAAATCAACCTAATTTCTGCTACATTTTATTACCTTAGAGAATTGCCAAGAGAATGTCTATCCAATATTCATCTCCAAAATATCTATTTAGACTGATTCCATGGCAGCTTATAATAGTTTAGTATTTTATTAGATTCAAAGTTAGAAAGTTGTGAATCTACCTCTTACTCATAGACAGTTTTGTAAGCCAGTGTTACCTTTAAAATAATAGATAACTTTAAAAGTGAAAAAAACTAAAAAGCTTCCTAAATATTTAAAAATATATATTTTAATTTATTTTGTTTTTTCTGAAAGATAAGGTGATTAGTTGTCAAAGACCCCTGTTCATTTTCTAGGCTCCAGTCAACAAAACTCCTTTGTCCTACAAAACTATGTTTACTTCCTCAGAAAAATACTGTTGGTCCAAACCTGAAGTTTGGTCTCAAGTCCAATATTAACTGAAGAGAAAAAAAAATGAAAATACTATTGAAGTGACTTCTGAAATCGCTCAAGTATTTGAAAATGGAATTAGAATTTTCTTTACTATTGCAAAGAAGTTTAATTATTTTTAAGTCTGATTTATATCTGAAATCTGTAAAATTTTTAAAACTTAAAATTTGTGAATATTATTTTTGGATATAATTTGCTTTGCTTTCAATCCCTGTGTGATTACTATCAAAATATCAGTTTTATTTTTATAAAATTACAATTCCAGTATTCATATGAAACTACAAAAGTTCTCAAATATCCAGTGATGAACAAAAAGAATAAAGTTGGAGGCATCACACGTAATAATTTAAAAATTATATTACAAAGCTACAGTACTCAAAGGAGTCTAGAAATAGGCTAAAAACCTACATAACATTGTAACAAAGTAACCCAAAAATATATCCATAAATTTAGTTAACTGCTTTTTAACAAAACACGATAGGGAAGAAGTAGTCTCTTCAACAACCATAGTACAATGTTGGCAATAATTAGTCATTTTAGAAAACATTATGAAGGTTCTTAAAAAATTAAAGCTATACCTATTTTATGATACAGTAATTCTAGTTCTAAGTATCTATCCAAAGTAATCTCAGTTTAAAGAACTATTTACAATGCCAAGTTTACTGTAGCATTATTGATAACTAAGATACAGAACCAATCTAAATGTCTATTGATGAATGATAAAGTAAATACAATATGCACAATTAATGAAATATTATTCTGTTTTTAAAAGAGAGCATCCTGGTTTGGGGCCTCCCTGGTGGTACAGGGGTTAAAGTCTATCACCAGCCACTGCTACATGAATTTGATCCTCAACTAGGTAGCTAACACATGCAGTGCAGCAGACCTCAGCAACCACTGCTCCCCTCAGCAGTGTATTTTAGTAGATCTGCCTGTTCTGCTCCCCACTGTGTCTCTGGTGAATCCTCCTCACACCTCTGACAATACACAAGTTCTTGTAAGCATAAATAAATAAATATTTTAAAAATACTATGTGCCTAGTTAATATTTTATGCATACTACTATTGAAAACTTCACTGACTTAGACCTCCTTAACTATTTATATTCCCTATAAACATTCCTATTCAGAATACAGAATATATTTTTTTCTCAACAGACTATTGAGAAGTTTGTTTAAATTTAATTAATATTGATAACTTCAATATTTATTTTCAGGAGAGTTTCACTGTGGATTTGAAGATGGTAATATTTGTTTGTTCACCCAAGATGATACAGATAATTTTGACTGGACAAAGCAAAGTACTGCAACAAGGAATACAAAATATACTCCAAACACAGGACCAAATGCTGATCGTAGTGGCTCCAAAGAAGGTGTGCAAGTTTGAAATGTTGTCTTTATAGGAGTTATCTGCTAACTTTGGACTTCTAGAAATACTATTAACATGAAATACACTATCATCTTTAACTAATAGGTTTGATGATTATATAATAAAATATTAAATTCTTGTGTACCATATTAATGATTTAGATACTTTCAATTTCATAGAAATTAATTTTCATTCAGAACTAAATGACATAAATGTGTTGAGGTATTGGAATAATTTTTTGGTAATCAAGTCTAAAATCCAATTTGTATCACATGTTTATAATTTTGAACAATTTTATTTTTTATTATGTAGATTATGTTGCTTTATATATTGTGCATATGCAGGTTTTATAAATCACATGCAAACTATCATCTTTCATTTGCATGAAAACTCTACAACTTGATGATTTCAAATTTCACTTTATTTAACAATAGGCTAAATTTTATTTTGTCTTTTAAAAGGTTTTTATATGTATATTGAGACATCTCGACCAAGATTGGAAGGTGAAAAGGCTCGACTTCTCAGCCCTGTTTTCAGCATTGCTCCAAAAAACCCTTATGGACCCACCAACACTGCATATTGTTTCAGTTTCTTTTACCACATGTATGGACAACATATAGGTGAGAGAGCAAGAATTATTATGCTTCTTGTGAAGTAAATTATAACTAGCAAAATAAAAGCTCACAACACACAACATGAAGTAAATATTAGTCAGTGAGTGTCACCACTGACATTTATGAATTAGCTGCAAATTGTAATATGTTTGCACCATGGCCTAATTTCCCAACTTTAGATTAGAATTTAAAGTCTGGACTACTACTTACCTCCTTTCGAATCCTAATGCTGGCAGACTGTCAATTAATTGGTTAAATGCTGTATGATATCTGATTGTACACTCAATCACACTATAATTTAGTCTACTTTCTAAAGATATTTGCTTGAATAATGATTCAAAGTATGTTAACATTCACAGAAAAGGAGTCTAGGCATATTTTGAAGACAAATATTTTGAGTAACTTATGTGTATTTGGAATATTAGTATGATATTTTTTCTTATCAATGCCTCTCTAGCCTAATGGCATTAAGAACATCCTAGGGCCTGATAGCATATTACATAATCTTAAAAATGCACCTAACAAATTGTGCTTTTTGGAGGGAATGTGACAATCACACAGGTGTACAGTTCCTCATATGCATGAAAATGACTTGGCAGCACATGCTAGCATGATCTACATCAGTTGATATCTACAATGTGAACTGATATAAGTCAAAGGTCTTTATACAGTGAGTGTGTACATTCATATGGTTTTCAGTGGAAATATCACTGTTTAACATTAGAATTTTTTTCCGGAACCTTCAGTTCATATTACATTATAACAAAATATATGCTAAATTCCCTTTCTAAATAAGACAAAATTCTGAATGATGAAGCATATCTGGTTCCATAGATCTTGGAAAAGGGATTGTGAATCTATATTTAGTTGAAGAATAAGGTAGTGTTCCAGGATAAAATAATAACTTTTATCTGGGCATTAAAAGATTTAGAATTTTAATAGAGAAAATCTAAGGACAATAAATTACTGGTAATGAGGGAATGAAAGGTGAAAGATTAAGGTGAATTTAAGTGTCCTGATATAAATTAATAGAGTTAGTAATATCAGTATATATTTATATAAATAATTTATACCATAAAATTGGGCATAAAATAAATATATGCCAGCCATTTCATTATATAAGTGAAGTAATTTTAATAAATTTGTAAAAAAAAATTTTTTTAAAGATTTATTTGTACATACAGAACTGGGGTACAGGCCAGAGGCTCAGGGGCTGTGAAAGGCTTCACCAGAGACAGAGTTGGGAGCAGAACAGGCAGATCGACGAAGTACACTGCTGAGGGGAGCAGTGGGCAGGTCAGGAGAGGTCTGCCATGCCAAGTGGTCACCTCCGGGGCAGGCGGGAAGCTAACTCATGTGGAAGTGGCTTTAGCTTCTCAGTGCAGTGCTTTAACCCGCTGCACCACCAGGGAGGGCCATAAATTTGTAAAATTTACTGAAGAAAATTGAAAATTGAAAAGTTTATGTGAGTTATAGGTAATTAATTGTACTGGGAGTCTAACTCAACCAGCATTGCTAGCTAGTATTCTTCAACAGTAGGTGACAAGTCTGGAGGAACAGCTCTTATACATTGAAAATTGCCTCATATGAACTCAGGAACTGAGTCTTATTTCCTGAATCTATAAAGTGAGACTTATTATTCCTGTTTTATAAATTTGCAGTTAAACTTTTATGCTATAAAATTATGAAATTTTCTGTTAGATGCCACTAATCTTGGGTTATCTTGAATGTCACATAATAATTAAAAAGAAGAGTTAATATGTGTGAGAATAAACCATGACAGACTGGAAGACAATACCAAACACTTCATTGGTTGTCTTAATCTTCATCATAAACATTCATACTCATTGAAATCATTATCCTGTTTCAGATATGAGGAAACTGGAATATAGAAAATTTTTATGTACATGCCTTCATATCATAGCTGATAACTAGTAAAGCCAATATAGGAAGCTGGACAGAATCTGTCAGCCTCACACTTTGCGGGGAGAATTATTGGAGTATCGTGAAAATTTGGCTAATTTAGTACTAGGGATAGTTATTATAATTTTGTACAAAAAAGTAGGATAGCATGGGAAAATAGATCTTACAGAACTGGGAAAAACAATGGAAAAGCCATGAGAAAGCTTGGATTTATGCTGGCCACACTATGAAAAGAACTAAATCACTAAACAATTTCCAAACCATCTTATTTAAGGAAGGTAGGATTAGTCTACCTACGATTCTTCCCTTAGTTTGCCAGGCATAACTATTTTACTTTTTCTTGTTTTGATTTCATGGATTTTTTCTTCTAATTTACCTTGGAACAGACTTATTCTTAGAGTTTTAAAGTAATTAATTATAAGATCAATATTTTGAATTACTGTAAAGATTATAAAATATATTTGAGAGTAGTTTCCTTAGTGATTCCTCTCAAACTTTCTTCATTCTTCTGAGTCTCAAGAAAATTTTAACATACTTTGATTTCAATTTGATATTCTTATCCTGTTGTTATCTATTGATGTACACTTAAAATTCTGCTAGATTTATTCTTAACATTTTACAGATAAGGCAGGTCTCCATTTTCCAGGTTTTCAATAATGTACCACTTTGATCCCTGTGCCTTTGTCTTCATTAGGCATTTGAAGGTTCCAGATATCATGTCTGCCACTGGGGCCCCTCTAGACAAGTCATAGTCATACTGTTAAAGACCAAAATATGTGGTCTAGGCATTTAATAATCAATTAGGAATACATATGCTGACTCATTAGGGAGATACTGCCTGTAGGTGAAATCATCCCTCTTTGTAAACATTAATTTAAGACACTCATTTATCTGTAAATCTGGGGGCATTTGTAGCCACTGGTTTTACAAATGACATTCTTAATTTTATTCATTCTTTTAGAAATCCAAATGCAAGTGATTCCTCCTGAATTCCTAATTATAGTTACTACTTGTTTAGTAACCACAATTCTTTTTTAATTGTGCCTAATGAACAATATATCAATGAGATGAGTAATGATTTTTAATAACACAAAAGATATGATCAGTTACACATTATGTAGAAAAAATACTTTCCAATTGAAAATGAAGTTCAATATATTATATTACTTATCAACTGCTGTACAACAAATAACCTCTAACTTTTATGCAAGTATTTATCATCTCATGCTTTTCAGGTCAGTATATGGGTATGGATTATTCGAATGCCTCGTTAATATCTCCTATGAGTTCACAGATAAGCTATCTGGCAAGACTACAGTCTAATTTGAAGACTTGACTTGGGAAGAATACAATTCTAAGTACACTCACTTGGTTTTTGCAGACTTCGCTCTCCAGATACTGCTTTAAGTTATTGACTTCTTGCTCACTGGTGGCCAGAGACTTCTTTCAATTCCTTCTCATGCAGACAGGTCTACAGGATTATCTCATGGGGTGGCAGCAGGCAGCCTCAAAGCCAGCAATCTCCCAGGGAGAATAAGCACATGCTTATGATTTTATATATATATATATATATATATATGTATATATATATATATATATAAACTATCCGCCAAGCATACAGTTCAGCAGAGAGCATAATCTCTGTGACATCACATAACTTCTGCTTTGTTCTATCTGTTGATACTGAGTTGATAATTCTAACCCTTATCAAGGTGAGGAAATTGCACAAGTGTTAATGTTAGCAGGTTAAAATTACTGGGAGGCCTTTTAAGAGTTTATCACACTGGTATAGTTGACTGAAGAAAGAAAATAAATGAAAACTATTATGTGTTATCCTTTAACTATTGATTTATATCTACATATTATAATAGATTGCTGCTGACAGTAATATAAGATTATTTCAGCAATACTGTAGCTACTAGTAGGTATTTCAGTTGCTGACTACTTGACTAAATTCCTAAAGCTTTTGCAAAGAACTTGAGTCTTCTATGAGATGACTGGATAAAACAGTGTTAACAATTAAAAATCAGAAAAAAAATGTACTTCATTATTTCTAGAAGAATGTGAGATATATGCATCATCTCACACCCTGAAATAAAATATAAAAAACATAAAAGATATTTATAAATTAATGTACACATTTTAAAACATATTTCAAAACAATTGTGGCTCTAGAATGCCAATTTCACTGGGGAACCACTGGGAACAATGAAAAGGATTTTGTTAATTAAGTTTACACTTTGATGAAGCTTGAGGATAAAGAAGAAAGGACATAGGCCTATTTTAAGCATAAAAAAGTATTTTCAGAAAGGGTAATGTTGGAAATACAAAATTTAGAGTGAAGAAAAGATAGGAATATAGAGCTCCAACAGGAGAATTAGCCTTGAAGAGAGGAAATAATATCACTTTCCCTGCTGTGGAAGGAAACAAATTACATAGGAATGTGGTTTCAGATAAAGTTTTAGATGCAAGAACAGCAAGGACATATGTGATGGTTCTCTTCCTAATAGTATGTATTTTCTCTGTAAAACAATTACAAAATATGCATGTTCAAAGAGTAGATCTTTTTAGGAGCATGGTAAATGGAAGCAGAAACTAATCAGCAATATAGGGAGAATTTGAACAGTGGAAATCAAGACATATCAGTAAGTCAGTCTGGAGATTTGGAAATAGTTTTAGGATATAATTCTTATTTAAGTCTACCTCACATCTACCTTACCACCTGACTAGTACTCATGCAATACTAATGCAATACTAACTGATTTCCATGCTGTCTTTTTGGCCCATAGTTTGATAGTAAATTTTTTTATAAAGTTAATAGGACACAACCCCATGATTCTCCATGGGCAGCACAATTGTCTATAACAGTCATATTTGAAGTTTACTAAATCAAGCTCTATAATATCTGGGAACTCTCCATAGTTTCTATCCTTTATCCTGCTGAACTGTATGCTTGGAAAAATTAGTGTCCTGGGAATATAAAGATTTATTTCAGCATTCAATAAGCAGTTATTTAAATGAATGTTTTTAAATTATAGAATTGAATAACTACATTTTATTCTCTTTAAACATCCAAAGAGCTCATATTTTCATTCAAAATCTAATGCAGAACAACTTTTGGAATTCTTATCTTCCTTCTTCCTTTTCTTTTTTTTTTTATGTTCCCAAAACAACTGGAAAAGGTTAGAGAACATGAGAAATAAAGGAGACAAGGTATAAAAGTAGAGAATATAAGAACACTTTTTTCATGGCAGGGTAGGGAAAATGGTAGACCCTAAAATAAACAGTGGCAAAGGTGCTGACATATACAGATAGTAAGCCTGATAAAAATTTGTTGGACGTTAATGTACACATTCAACTGGTTAGGAAAAGGTACAAAGAATAAGTGAATTTACATTTTTATTTATGATGTCATTTTGCAGTTATATATTGAAAAAATAACAATAGATGCATACAGCCATTTCTACTCAGATATGAATGATTTTATAATTCTCCATTTTGTCTGTGTGTATAAAACAAATGATGATAGCAATCATCTATCAATATACATAGCTGTTGCCTGGAGCTAGACAATTTTTGACATATTCCTATTTTCCTGAAATGTGAAACTCAAATTAACAAGTCTATGCTACTGATTAGAATAAAAATATAATTATATGCAAGTGATCCTCAGGCCCTGAGTAAACCAAATTACAAATTAATTCAAGTGAACTTCACAAATTCTAGTATTTAAAGGAATATGTATATTTTAGGACATAGCCAATTACCTGAATTACATATTTGTTATAAAATAGTTAAATATAAAATTATATTATGGACCTAAGAACCAATACTAATTTAAATAATATTTATATGTTATTCTGTGCATAGTAATTTATATGAAACTATTAAAATAGGAACAATGTAGTTGCATAATTAATACATCCGTGAACACCCTCACAACTTTGATCACTGCTCACAAGGTAATATAACACTTAGAATATTTAGCCTTTGCAAATGTAGTTACTAAGCATGAAATTAGTTAAGTCCTTTCTGACTATATCACCTGACTTGAAGAGTAGTGACCAAAAGTGAGAATTAGGACACCAAAGAGAATGAAATACACTTAAATTTGATATAGCAACTTCAAATTTTTATCTTGGAGCTATATTGCATTTGAAAACTTCTGGGGATGATTAAATGCATTCATATAGGTGTCTGCTGCCTACTACAGCATTAACATAGAACCTCTGAGGATTTAAAATTACTTTAAAGAATATTAACACAGTCCTTCAAATTCACCTGGAATTTTCTTACTGTATGACTGTGACAATGTGCTGAATCAGCTTTGCTGAATTTAACTTCTTTTGATTGCTTTATTCTGTTTCAAGTTCTAATTTTGTTGACTAACATTATCTGAACAGAAGTATAAATATTTTTTTGTGAGTAAATCTTTTATAAATTTAAAAACTGGAAACTTGCTAGAAAAAATTTCAAAATCATTTGTCTATTCATATTTCTTTTGTCGTCATCTCTAAAACAAGGTAATGTATCAGTAGTTTAAATAATCAGTTTGGTTTGGATCTACGAACTGATTAGAAAAATCAAATATAATTGATATTATGTGCATAAATTATAATATGTCTGAATGTGTTTCAATCAGCTATACTTCCAATGTTTTTTTTTAAGATATAAACAATACTCATTTTTTTAAATACAATCTAATGACAACTGAATATATCTTATATAATCTATTCAAAACCCAACTTAAAACCTGTTATTATTCAAACCTGGTTTCTTCAGACTAAGCAAAATTACTTTTATACTATATATTCATTAACGATACATTTAAAATGAGGGGCTTATATAGCATAAGTTATATCTCAATAGAAGTGTCATAGTATTTGTTGAAATCCTGAAGGCCTAGTGATGAAAGGATCAACTGTGAAACTGTCTGGGTTCAGATCCTACCTTTGTTATTTTCCTAATGTATGATGTAGGGAAAATTACTGAACTACTCCAAGATTTCTCATCTGTAATACTATAATAATAATAAGCACTTAATCGCATTTTTGAGAGAATTAATTTCTTACCTGAATTGTTCAACACATATTATTTTGTAGTAATAGTATATCATTTCTATGTAAAGATCATAAAACTGTTGAAAGAGGTATCTTAAATCACTAGACAAAGGTTACTTTAATTTTATCTTCAAATAAATTATTTTAAAAGAAAAAAAGTATTTGGATGAAATTCAAATAAACAAAATAAGATGTTATTTTGGACAACACAATTTGAGTCAGACATTGAGCACCTCAAACAAAACATGATTACATTCTGTATTAGTGCCCTGTTGCTGCTGTAACAAATAGCTTAGCACAAATTTTATGGCACAAAACAACACAAAATTATGATCCTGCAGTTCTAGGAGTCAGAAATAGTAAATGAGCATAATGAGATTAAATCAAAGGGTCAGCAGTGTTTGTTCTTTCTGAAGATACAGGGTGAATTCATTTCTTTACCCTTTCTGTCTTTTAAAGATTGTATGTATTCCAAATGAGACAATTTATTCCACCTTCTTTTTCACTTATATGCCCTTTTGCAGTACCAAATCTCTTCCTACTACCATCTTATAAAGATTACACTAGGATTTACCCAGGTATTCTAGGAAACTCTCCCCATCTCAAGACCCCTGATAACACCTGCAAAATCACTTATTGCCATATAAAGTAATATTCACTTGTTCTGCAAACAAAGACACAATTATTTTTATGTCTGCCTTACCTGCCAAATGTCATTAACAGTAAGACTGGAAATGAGAGAGGAAGGGAGAATGAGGATATGTTGGTGTTCTATAAATGTCATCTTTAAAGATGTACAAGTATTTTGAAAAAAAAAATTCATTGTTATTTTTTAGGTGTTTTAAATGTTTATCTACGCTTGAAAGGGCAGACAACAATTGAGAACCCACTGTGGTCATCAAGTGGAAATAAAGGACAAAGATGGAATGAGGCTCATGTTAATATATATCCAATTACTTCATTTCAGGTAAGAAAAGAACAATCATTTCTGTATACAGATATTGTTCCTTAGCATAATTGTACAGGCAGACCTGGACAAATCCAATATGGATATGATTTTTTGAATCGCAGAAATCACATAATCAAGTTTCTCTTTAGTTCTAAAATTTGTTTTTTAAAGAAAAAATGCCATTTCCCTTATTAATTAATATAACCTCATGATATATTTGAAAAAGAGTATCAAATTTTAAATTATTTGTTGGAGAAAATGTAATACAACTCTTTAAAATAACATGTGTACATTGTGTTCACTGAAGACAAATGATACAGATTCCTATAATTTGTGGAAGCTGGATAAAATCTATTCTTAATCTATTTGAGAGTTACTTGATGGGATTTTACATACTTTATAAAATGTTACCCTTTATGATACTATCACTTTAGTAATTTATCAAGTTGTTTATAAAGTCAGAGAACTTTAACCAAGTTATTGTTCTTTGCTTTCATACAGAAAAGAAGTAAGTCTTAGATTGAATTAAAGAGCTAGCTATAAGTATACAATAGAAATTTTAATTGCTATAACATTGTACATCATAGCTAGAGACACTATTCCATGAAGCTATTTTAGTAGATAAAATAATATAATATTTGTGATTTTAATAATACATATTACATACTCATTTTATCTAATCATTTTGTGATTTAATAATTATGTTATCTACTCATTTGTTTCTATTGGTATTTATTAGGTGAATTTCACAAAATATAGAGTAAAGGCATGGAAATCTGATAGCTCCTGTTATAGCACCTTTTAATTGGCAGACTGTCCTTTACATATAACCTAAAGCTTTCATTACTTTGCTATAGAAAATGTACTTCTACACATTACTAAGATAAAATGCAGTTGTTCATAACGGTAAGGAATAATGCAGTTAGACTATCTATAAACACATAAAAGCACTATAACTAGAAACTCTGAGGATCATTTTGTTTCTATAAAGGAGAGTACAATTGTAAAAAACTGAATCTATGGCAACATCATTAAACCAAATTAAACTGGCAAGACAGGATTCCAAAGCAAACATTATAAAAATGTATATACCTATATAGACATCAAAGAGTCTTTCTTAAAAAAAAAAATAATCTAGATATATTTTTACTTCATCTATGCTGTTTAACCAAAACAAAATTGTTAAATATGTTTCCAATAAGTATATCAGAGAGTAGTTATATTAATGTTTCCTTCGGGGTAATTCTCTATTGCCATAAATATCAGCTTACTACATATTTATTGAGCAAGTTCAGGACTCTATTGCCATAGAAAACAATTCAATAAATACCTATTGTGTTACTCTTGTATCTGAGGAACATTGCTGAGCTTGAAGATATTTAAAATAACTGCTTACCTTACATGGGTAGAGGTACATATCTGAACACTTATGGTTGGAGACCAGCTCCGACTATTGAGGTATCTGGAGGCAAGACAGGCAGGACCCTAAGGTGGGAAGGCGTCTTTGAGCAAAGATTCCTAAAAAGGGGAGAAAAGGAGAAAAAGGAAAGGGGAGTGAGGAAGACACGGGAATCGGACTTGGGTGCAAGTCTTCCTGCTCTGCCTTCAGCAGAGGTTTATTTTATACATTAGGAGCAAGCAGTGGGATGACATCAGCACACGAACTGGGCTGAGAGATTACAATCATCTTTTTTTCTAAGAACAGTTTAGGGTCATATTGCCCTTTCGCTGAGATACAACATTCTAAAATCAATCAAGGTTAAATACAGGTACATAGGTGCACAAAGTTTATGACTAATATTATTATAGTGGAGATCAACTAAGATAGAAGTCCCTTAAACCTTATCTACTACTTAATGGGTTTTTGTTTTCTACCTGAGTCATCCTGGGAGGCAGAAGAGGAAATTCCTTGCTAATCAAATCTCTGATTAGGAGACATAGGTGAATTTCCTTATCTGAAGACTACATAGTAGAATCCTGAAAGACTAGCCAGAAGACTTTTGTGGATTCCTTTAAGGTGTAGCAGGTAGAAAACTTGACTGGTTTCAAAACAGGCAATGTAGATGGATTTCCAAGTCTAAAGGCCAAACAATAGGAAGTAATTCTTTAGAAGCTGAATAGAAGGCTAGGTGAGATAATAGAATGGTAAGATTTGGGTTTTCCTCCATCTGGCAGTGAGAGAGACTTTGCAAAAACAGCCCTTTTGCTTTTATTTATCAGTCAGTAGTCAAGTCACTTGACTTCAGGGGAATTTTTCACCCTGGTGCAGTGCTTGCTTGTCAGGGCAGACCGGCCTTATGCAGCTGAGGCAATCCAATTGTAAGCTGAAAGTTGCTCAGAATATTTTGATATTACAATTATACAAAAAAAAAGGGAAGTCATAACATAAGTTAGGTGGAAAGTCTGATTTTTCAGAGCCATTCCCCTCCATCCGTACCGTGGCTGATGACAGAGGTTGTATAGCTTATGTCAACTTATCAAATATATAATAACTATAGTAACTGAGACATGCACAAATTCCTGTGAGCACACCTAACCAACAAGAAAAGTACTAATGAGAGTCAAACATTTATTGCATGAGGTGAAACCTGCACTGAATAGAAGGATTGCAGTATATAGAAAACATTGCTTGCTACAGCAGAGTTAAGAGTGAGCAAAGGCATCAAGGTCTCATACCACAACATTTGCTAGAAGAACAGAAAGATAACCGGGAATTTAGTACATTGAAAGGAGTTATATGTGGTGAGGTTAAGGGACTTTTGAAACTTAGGTGATGAGCATTCATCAAAAGATTTTTCTCAAAGGATAACATGGTACATCACTCAGGTTGTTGCATGTGTTGACTAAAATTAAATTGAGAGCAGATAAATGAAGTCACTTTATTAAATAATTAAGAGAGAGGACTCCAGTGCAGAAAGATCTTCAGATAACTGGAGGAAAGCTACCTGAAATCTGAGCTGCTCAGAGGGGTTTATATACAATTCAAGGATTTCTGTTGAAACAAAGGTAATTTGGGTTAGGGTCAGGTAAATGTATTTATCTGATGTATCGACCAGTTGAAGAAAACAAAGAGTGTTGTTAACGTTTAGCCTTCTGTATAGAGCCATATCTTCTGGGCAATGGTAGGGTGGTGGTTGCAATGCCTTAAACCTTGAAGTCTTATCTTTCTTGAAAGTTACTTATTTGTTCTGAGATTATTGTATTTAGATGCTGCAGCCTCTTCCAGAACTAGCCCTGAGTCAACTTGTGCCTCTTTGTTGAGATGGGGTAAGGAAATGGAGGTGCCCTCTTCATTGTTCATTTTTTAGCTCACAAGTATTAAGACTGGTTATTTAGCACACCCTTATAAAATACACATAAACAATGCTGAATGGACAAATTAAGGAAGTGGTATAAGAAAATAGGATAATTTAAAGATTTACTTTAGGTTAAAAGCTAGCATGTCCTCATGTTTGGAATTTGGCAGCTAGCCATGAATGATTCAGAAGTTTCCTAGAAGGAATCTAGCAATGTTAGTACTAAACATTCCCTTAAATAATAAAAAGGGAAAATTCAGGGTTGAAAATTATTTACTTTTCTTTTGAATATGTTGCTCTGACATACCTATGGAGTATCCTTCTGAAGATACACAGAAGGTTCTCCTATATGTTTAACTGAACTTAGAAATACCCATCTTTATAATCATTGGATTGCATGTGCTACCTAAAAATTTAAAAGTAATTATTTCCAAGGAAAAGTGTATATATGTCACAGCGATTAACCAGTCATTAACATGAACTGTGGGAACAGGGCTTGACCCTAAGCAGTTTTCATTAAAAGTTAAAAGGAAGGTGTTACCGAATGCTAGTCTCAGTTTCCCTCAGCCAATAAAAGGAAACAGAGTTTGAGGAAAAGGAAAGTGGTTTTACTTTTCAACAAATGAGGAGGGCAGCAGACTCATGTCCGAAAGCCCACCGTCCTGCTCTTTGGCAGGTTGCAGGGCTATTTATACAATGTTCAACAAAGAAAAAGGGGAGGTGGGCCAGTGTCCGCAAAGGGGAGGGAGTAAAAGTTAGTGCTGGGATGGAGACCAGTGGGCACCAGCCTTTGTTTACACAAAGACAAACAAAAATGGGGAATCAGCAAGAGTAATGGGGAGGGGGCAGGGGCAGCACAGGGAGGAAGAGAAGTGGGCATCGGCAAGCTTTCCCACGTTTGCTTTTGTTTGGGATTCCTTTCCTTGACCCTAAACCTGTCAAGGAAGAGGAACTGCAAGGAGAACAAACTCACAATCAATTAAGAGCTCTGGGAAAACCACTTCTGTCATAAATTTGTCAAAGAAGGCAAATCCACAAATGCTTATCTGAAAGCCCATTTGCTGTATCAAAGGTATTCCAGGAAAGTGGAGAAGTTTGGAAGTTTGGAAAGCAGGTTGAGTCCAGAAATTATGTAAGGTGATAAGGAAATTGACAAAATTACTTATAAAAATAGTTTTATTCTATCAATTTTCATGTTAGGAAAAAAATACAGATTTTGTTCTGTTCTCACAAGTGAATAGGTTCATATTTAGGGTGTTACAACAGAGAGAATGCGATGAGAATACCCCCATGGCTATAAGCAATGAGAGGAATTCCACAAGGAAAGTAAAGAAGTAGCAGAGTGCAGCACCAAGCCTGACTACATTCTTAGAGAAAGGAACAGCTTTTCATTGTGATTTAGTTTCTCTTTGCCCATTGCATCTGTTCTCAGAATTGTTGGTTAAAGAAGGGATTTCAAGGCGTGTTAATTTTTATTTTTAACCAGGAATCATGTAGTCAGTGTAAAATCAGAGTAGGCTATTTTTTTAAAGCCAACTACAAATGGCAAACACTTTGCTCCCTTTGTAATTCACATATAGTAATTTCCAAAAAGATTTGTAAAAGAATGTTGAATGCAGACATTCGTGAATGTTCAAATGAATAGTTTTATTTCATAAAGTTTCAAATCTTGAAGAACTTTTTTTCAACCTAATCAGCTCTTGTTATCATCCCAATTGAGAA